TTAGTAACCACGTTGTATGTCTGTTAAAAAGGATTGCTGCCCACGTTTGGTCACTTTCTGTGTTATTTCTAGAATAAGCCCCACAGAGATCTCTGTTCCTTCCCTGTGCACCCTCCGGCTTATGCAATTTTGGATTTGTTACCATGAGGCTGGGCAGAGGGAACAAGGTCCGAAGATTGGGGTTTGGGGCTTTAGAGAAGAGGGCCTGCTCAGGCTTCAAGCCCAACCCATCTTTCCAGATTCTGTACGGCAGACTTGGGAGCCTATGTCAGACTCAGCTGAAGATGTGGCTGCTCTCCCACGCCCTCTTGTTCCTGGGTGTGGAGCTCCCTCCACCAGCTCCCAGGAAAGGTGTGGCCGAGTCAAGATACGACTCAGGGTCCCTCATCACTTTGACGGCAGCAAAGTGTCTGCCTTTGCCTGTGACATTCGCTTGGGCAAAGGTGCAAATGATGGATTTATTCCACTAATAACCTGAAGCTCTTCCTTATGTTTCAGCTTTTTCCAGTTATCAGAACAGTTTACCTTAAGTTATGTCCAACTAGATTTGAAAGCCAACCCATCATCTTCTCTTGGGAAAACACTTTATCAAAACGCCCAACACATAAGCAGCAGCAAAAAAAAAAAAAAAAAAAAACAAACCCCAGGGGGAACTCTGGCCTCTGACCACATTTATGTAACCAAATCTCTGACTATATTACCACTGGCCCAGTATGGAAGTCAATTATGAATGAAGTCAAGAGCTTGAGGTTCATTCCTTTCTTTTCTTATAAACAAGTATATATTAATTTCATTCTTCATTCCTAGTGATTTTGTAACACTGACACAGTCACGAAACACTTTTGGTCACCAAGCATCTCAGCCTAAAACCTTACTCTGTTAAGCACTTTCTCTCTCAAGTCCATCAAGCAAAGGTGAGCTGTTACAATCTTTTTTTCCTACAAGGACAGTGATTCCAGTAGCACAAACAGGTCTGAAGACATTAAAGATGGTAGCTATCTGAGTGTAACATCTGTGTCATGGATCTTACACATACAGAAGTTATAAGGCAGCCTCAACATGGGCTGACCTGTCACTAGTAAGTAGTGGTGCTGACTCCGGGAAGCAGCCTAATCCAGTGCTCAAACCAGAAACCACCCATCACAGTCACCACGAACTCAGCCCAAGCACGCTCTGCATTTCCAGTTGTTCTTTTGCCCAGAGGCAGCTCTCCAAGCAGTCACACTACAACCCATCAAGGCATCTTGCATCCAACTTTAATTTTGCCCCAGGTTCACAAGTGAGTCAGGATGCATTGGTGTTTAAACGCTTCTAACCTTGTTTTATCAGAGAAAATTTGGTTGGGCGAAATAAGATTATCCCAGATTAGATGACTGGATAAAGAAGTTGTGGTATATTTATACAATGGAATACTACTCAGTCATAAAAAGGCATAAAATTTTGCCATTTGTAGCAATATGGGTGGACCTAGAGATTGTCATTCTAAGTGAAGTAAGTTAGAAGAAAAAAGAAAAATACCATGTATCACTCATACGTAGAATCCAAAAAAAAAAAAAAGACACAATGAACTCATCTACAAAACAGAAACAAACTTACAGACTTAGTAAACAATTTTATGGTTACCAGAGAAAGGGGATGAGAGGATAAATCTGGGAGTTTGAGATTTACAAATGTTAGCCACTATACATAAAAATAGATTTTAAAAAATTTTCTTCTGTATAGCACAGGGAACTATGTTCAATATCTTGTAATAACCTTTAATGGAGAAAATATAAAAACAAATATATATATGTATATGCATGACTTGGACATTGTGCTGTACACCAGAAACTGACACATTGTAACTGATAGTACTTCCATTTAAAAAAATATATATTATCCCATGTCAGACTCTAAGGGACACAGGCATGCTCTTTGTAACAGCCCAGCATATGTAAAAGGTGCCATGGGTAACAGGTCAGTGGGTGTAGCAGCTGCCAGGGAAGGAACAATGAGCATTAGCATGTATTGATATTTTGGCACAGAGAGGAATGCCTCTCTCTTCTCCTTTTGAAAGATTGCTCCTCCACCCACCTCCAGACATATAATTCTGGTCAACTTGCCAGTCACAGGCTGAACTAATCATTGATGTGTCACATGTCCTTTCCCCCTATTCAAATTCAGGCCAGTTGGAGTCCCTCCCTGGGATTCTATTACTGAAGTTGTCAAGGAAATGCTCTTTTTCCTCTCTGATCATATGGCTGTGAAAAACC